TTTTGTGGTACCAGGGGTTGAACTCAGGGCCCTGCACTTGCCAGGCAGGCCCTATGGATGCACTTTGAGACCATGTTAAGCAAAGTAAATCAGACACACATGCTTAAATACTGCAAGGTTTCTCTTACATGATAAACCAATACATAAAGAAAGCACAAAATAAAAGATATAATAAATAAAAAGAGAAAATGTTGAAATTCAGCATGGACAATGTATCTAACAGTATGCCTTACCGTAATTGTCTTATATTTTTGGATAATTAAGTTGATAAGAACATACAATAAATGAATCTGATGCTGGCAAAATTTTTAAAGAGGAGAGCTGGAGAGGAAGGCAGAAAAAGAATTGAGATGTTATGGACATGTACTAACTACCCACTATATATAATCATTCTGTGCTTCGAATATTTACAATACAAATAAAACTTTTAAAAATAACTATGTCCATAAAAGGGTGAACAGAAAAAAAATGTGTTAAGTATACACAATGGAATGTTATTCACCCATAAAAAAGAAAGAGCCTTTTGAATTTGCACCAATGTGCAAATTCTTGCACAAGGATGTTGTGTTCAGTTAAACAAATAAGCTGGACTGAGACAGACACATGCACATGTTGGCACTTCCACACGGAAGCTTCGGAGTTGATCCCATACACTAAGAATAAAAGAGCAGTTAGGAGAAACTGGGAGGGGATGGGAGACAGGACGGTCACGGAGCAGAAGGCTTGCTGGGACGGCCCAGGTAGAGCCCTGGGCTGGTATGTGTGAAGCCCTGAGTTCTAAGCACAGTGAAAAGGATCAGAGCAGAAAAGCAAAATTTAAACTTAAAAACATATTTTTAAAAACAACAAAGGATAGTGGTTTTTTTTTGTTTTTTTTTTTCTTTCTTTCTTTCTTTTGGCAGAACCAGGGATTGAACTCAGGCCCTTGCACTTGCCAGAGAAGCATTTATTCTACCAAGCTATCTCCCTGGCCCAAAGGATAGTATTTTAAAAACCACAAAATTGACAAATCTTTAGCTTACCTAATGAAAAAAGAGAGCCAAGCCAACAAAAAAAATCAGATATGAAAAAGGACGTTTTACAGTACTAACACAGTATCCAAAGGACCACTACAGATTATTTCAAACAACCAGATTTCAACAAATTGGAAAACCAAGAAGAAATTGATACATTTCAGGACACATGTAATCTATCAAGACTAACCCATAAAGAAACAGAAAATCTGAACAGAACAATAGTGGTTAAAGACATTGTACTATCATAAAATGTCTCATTTGTAAAAAGGCCCAGACTAATTAGCTTCACTGCTGAGTTCTACCAAACTTTTTTTTTTTTTTTTTTTTTTGTATTTTAGGGAAGGGTCTACAGGGTCTATAAGGTCCCACTATGTAGATTGGACTCCTAGTGATCCACCTGTTTACAGCCTCCCAAGAGCTGGGATTACAGGCACACACCAGGATGCCCGGTCTCAATTGCCATCTCAGAGTGCCCCAGGGGCAGGGCCAGCACAGCAGGCCCAGGGATCAAACCCCCGGCCCATGTGCCTGCTTACAGGTGCTTTTATCCGCTGAGCTGGGGGGCCTGGCCCTAGCTCAGTCCTTTAAGTGGCTGCTTCCACAAAGCTGTCAGCCTCAGGTTGCTGGAGTTCGAACCTCACACCTCTCCAGCTGGCCAAAAGTGCCCTGAAGGCATTCGAGGAACAAAAAAAAAAAAAAAAAAAAAGCCTTATCTGCTGAGCTATTTGGCCGGTCCTCTACCAAACTTTTAAAGAGCTAATACCTATTATTCTTGCTAATTACCATATCAAGTGCTAACTTGGAGTACTTCCAAGCTCATTTTGTAAGCCCAGAATTACCCTAATACCAAAATCCAATGAGGACATGGCAAAAAATAAAATGAAAACAGTGGGCCTGTTGGTGAACGTAAGTGCAAGAATCTTCAACAAAATGCTAGGAAACAAAGCTTACAGCACAGAAATAATATCATTCACCATGATTAAGTAAGAGTTATCCCAGGAATGCAAGAGTAGATCACATAAAACAATGAAGGTGCTATAGCACATCAACCTAACAAGGACAGGAACAATCACCTCAACAGACCGAGAGAGGGCACTTAACATTCAACACCACTTTATGACTAAAATTTTTGACAAATTAGTTCTGACGGCAGGCACCTCAACACAATAAATGCTCTATTGACAACCAACAGCTACTACCATTCTGACCTGGATAAAGCTGAAAGGATATTTCTCTAAGATCTGGAACCAGACATGGAGACTCACTGTCACCACTGTCACTTAGTTGGCACTGGACATCTTGGATAGAGAAATTAGGCAGGAGGAAAAACAAACAAAAGCAGGCAAATTAAAAACAAGCAAGTCAAATTGTCCCTGCTTAGAAAAATCTAAGACTCCACCAAGGAACTATCAGAATAAATTCAGCCAAGTTGTAGGATACAAAACTCCATAGTGTTTACAGAGCTTTCACCAAGAACAGGAAAAGGAAAGGAAAGGCAGTCCTGTTTATGACAGGTACCAAAAGAGAAACAAACAAAAAAGGAATACCTAAGATCTTAAAATTAATTTAACCAAAACCAGAGATATTCTCTACAACAGAAACTATAAAATGCTGAAGAAACAAATTAGAGGTGAGAAATGTGAAAAGACACATTCATTTGTTTCTCTTATATAATGAAACAGAAAGCAGAGAAGTTACTTAGCGCACAGTTCTGGACGCTGAAGGACTTGGCGCTGGTTTCGGCTCACTCTGCTGAAGGCCTCACGACAGGGGGCATCCCAGTGGCCAAGTTGCTCCAACAGGAATTGGTCACATTGACAGACAGCCAAAGCGCAGGCCAGGCTTCAGTCTCAGGCTTTCCTAACAACTTCTCCTCAGGGACTCCACAAGAACTACCTCAAGCCCTTCTGGCATCAGAACCGACCCGACAGAAGCATCTCTCACTAGGCTCCACCTCCTAATCTAACGAAATAACTGCACCGGGCCTAAAGCCCTATGTGGTGGTCTTTGTCTGGATGTCCCTTGCAAAGCCTCATGCAGCTTTAGGTGGGCCTGTTTTGGAGGTGGCTCAGTCTAGAGTGTGTGGCGGACTTGTGGTGCAGTGCTGGGGTCAAGGGTGGGTGATTGCTGATCAGCTGCTGACTGCGTTGGCACCGCCCTAATGACAGTAGACTGGATACAACATAAAGGACAGGGCGAGGCTTCCGCTCCCTTGCTTGCTTTTGCTGTCTGCTACCATCATGAATGGTTTCTTATGTGGACTGTCCCACTATCAAGCCACCCTGCCTTGGGTAACTTTGGGCACTGGATATTTTGTCTCAGCAAAAAAGAGAAAATAAAGGCACCCTAATGCCTGAAATGCCGGGAGAAACAAACCATCTCCAAATTACAGTAACATTCTATTTTCATAGATCAGAAAAATAAATATTAACATGTCCATATTACCCAAGAGATCTATAGAGTCAATGCAAGCCCTATTAAAATACTGACAAAATTCTTCAGAAATAGAAATACAACCCCAAAAGTCATATGAACTACGAAAGACCCCAAATAGCCAAAGAAATAAACCAAAGGAACAAATCCAGAGACACCACACCATCTGACTTCAGAAGCTACAGTAATCAAAACAGGATGCCGCGGACACCTAACAGACACACAGACCAGTGGAACAGAACAGAGAACACAGAAGCAAATGCGTGTATGTACAGCCAGATAACCCAGCAGGTGTACCAAGAGCATACGCAGGTGAGGATAGCCCCTTCAACCCATAGCCCTGGGAAAGCTAGGCAGTTACATGCAGAAGAGTGGAGTTAGACCGTATCTCTTACAATACACAAATTTCAGCTCAAAATAGGTGAAAGATTTAAGTGTGAAACCAGCCATGGAACTGCTAGAAGAAAACAGGAAATGCTTCTGGACATTGGCCCAACCATAGACTTTTTTGGATCTGAACAATCTCAAAAGCATAGGAAACAAAAGCAAAAATAAACATGTGGGATTATAGCACGCTGAAAAGCTTCTTCACAGGAAAGGAAGTAATCAACAGTGAAGAGACAATCTACAGGATAGATGAAAATATTATAAACCATCCAGGGGAGATGAACATCCGCAATACACAGGGAGCTCACCTCTACAGCCAAAACCCAAGCACACACAAAATAAACCCCACACAACATCAAAAACATCCCTGAAAATACAAAACCAGATCTGAGTGTGGGATTATGGGTATGCGGCACATGGGCACATGTCTGTAATCTTATAACTTCTTTTTTTTTTTAAATATTTATTTTTTTTATTACATTATTTATTGTGTGTGTGTGTGTGGCCAGCTCAGCCCACCAGGGGGCGGGGCTGGCTG